AAAGCAAGCCACCAAGTCCAGGATTTGAACTATGGCTGGTCATGTGGGAGTGTCCAGTGCCTTAACCATCATGCCACCTGCTGGTCCCATGCCTGGTATATTTTTCAAGCTGCTGGGTGTGAGACTTGAACCACACAGTTATTCATGTAAGATGCAACTTCCTCCCCTTTTAAAATTTTAATGTAACTTTTATTTATTTATTTAAATTTGACCAGAGAGGAACAGAGCGAAAGAGTGAGAGCAAGAGTGAGAGCGAGAGCGAGAGAGAGAGAGAGAGAGGGAAAGTGAGAAAGCAAGTCACCAGGTCTGGGACTCAAACCATGGTTGGTCATGTGGGACTCCAGCACCCTTGACCGCCATGCTGCCTACCGGCCCCAAGATCCAAATCCCTTAACTGCTAGGCCACAGGCTGACTGGATAGTGGAAAATTAACATATTCCCAGTCTTTCAATCTATACAAGAAGGGCCTATATGGTAGAAGAGTTAGCAGCAACTTGGATTCAAGGTCAAAATACAGGATCTTTGATGATAGAATCATTAATAGGGGACATAAATCCAGATCAGCAGAACACAACATAGGTGTTGATAGAGTTAGGATCAACCCAGAGAGGTGCTGATGATAGGAGAGTTAGCAGAGTCCAGGATTTGGTATATTGACCAGAAGTCACACAATAATAAATTTGGAAAATTTTGTGAAAGTGTGTGCGATACAATACTGTCATAGATGCCATTCTGTCTTCATTCAATTCACAAATACTGCAGGGGGGACCAAAAAAATGGTGATAATCTAGGGACCAGTAGATGACGTAATGGTTATGTCACTGGACTCCCAGGTAGTCAAGCGTGGTTCGAGTACTGGACCTGGAGGCTTAAAACTCATGCTAGGCAGGTGTGCATGCGTGCCTAAAATTCCAAAAGGAAGATGGAAGAGAAGGGATTGTGGTGTAGCCATTCCCCTTGGGGGGTAATTTGTTGCTTTCTGTCTCTCTATCTCTCTCTGTCTCCCCAGCTAGTGCATGTGCCCTATAGCAAGAATCTCTGGGAAAAAAAAGAAAATGGGGATAATCTGATATATATATATATATATATA